AAGAGCTTTTGCAGTTAAATCATCACGTCCAAGATAACCTGCAAATACACCGGCTCCTCCTATATATAGCTCTCCTTCTTTGCCAATAGAGATAGGTTGCAAGTGTATATCAAATCCTTTACATTGGTAATTAGCAAGAAGAGTACCTATAGGAACATCCAAATGACCAGAGAGGGAGTCAATAAGATAAATTGTCGATAGCATTGTTGTTTCAGCTGGCCCGTACACATCCCACATACAGCATGTCTTCTCCACGTAGTGCTTGAGATGATATACCAACTTGTGAGAGACAACTTCGCCTAGAAATTTATGAAACGTTGTACAATGGTTCTTTTTAATGTATCTACTAACCACCAATTGAAAGCGATCGCATTGTAACTAACGGATTATCATTAAAATTCTTTTCGATAAAATCACAGAAACTATACAAAAAACTGGGGACAGATGCCATATACGTAATTTGTTTGTTTTTCAGTGTGTTTCCGAAATAGGAAAAATCCATATTCCCATAAGAATGTAACATGACCACAGTCGCGCTTGAAAGTAAAGTACCGATGATTTCCAGAACATGTGCATCAAATGTAGAAGCAAAAACTTGCATCACAGTATCCTTTTCGTTAATAAAGTTAATGTACTGTAGAGAATATATGAAACTTAGGAGATTCTCATGTCTTGTCTGAGTCTGAAACAAAGAGAAGAGAAGAGAAGACGAATATATTTTAAAATTCAGCAAAGACAAACCGCTTTAGGAGCGCCAGTTGAACCGCTTGTGAAGATTATGTAAGCTATATTGTCTGGCCTTACTATGACGTTCAAAAGCTGATCTATATCAACACTACAATCCACATCCTTGTTAACTAATGTCGAATTAATATCATATGTTGGAATATCATCACCAAACTGTTTCCTTGTTAACCAATGAACAAGAACAAGACGACTTTGAGTTTGTTGTGTGAGCGCATACAGACGATGTTGCGGATCTCGAGATGATAATGGACAATAAATACCACCAGCCATTTCAATTCCCATTATACCAATCACCTAATCAAAACCAATGTCAAACACTCATCAATAATTATTTCTTCTGATTAACTTACCATTGACACACTTCTCTCAACACATTGACAAATAATTTCACCT